TCTTTTTGTTTCCATTTTCTCTAAAATACTATCCTCAGCATCCTTCTGTGGAGTCACGTTTTTCTTGCTTCAAGTCTCTTCTTCATCTTTAAGGAGAGTGTCCAGCACTCACTGCCATACAGGTGGACATATATCACGTAACACTTTGATACTCATTTCCTTGTTTCTAGCGAAGTTTTTCTATTTCTTAGTACTCTGCTTAGCTTTTGGAAGGCATCTTTGGCTATCCCAATACGCCTTCGGATTTCAGTGTCACACTTTCTGTTCTCTTTTAAAACACTTTCCAGATATTTAAATTTCCGCACTTGTTTGGATTGTGGCCTTGTTATGCACAGAAATAAAGACACAAAGAGAGGAATCGATCGTGTACCCATCGCACTTTGGGCCCATCTTTTGCTCACAACCATGCATCATGTCTTCTTGTAATTAATGTTTATTCCTTTCTTCCCATTTGTATTTTATATAAATACTACCTTATGAAAATTGAGATGTAGTGGAGTGGGGTCCCCATAGTATAGATTCTGAGGTCACGAAACCTTTGCATCGGCTTTGGCACGAGTCATGAGTATCCAAGCCAGCTCGACCAGATGATGATAACAGCTAATTAACTACTTAAATTATTTACATTATTCGGACTGTTGTCCTCATCTTCATTGCTATAATCACAACGTTTAGGCCGTTGTATGCTCCAGCCTTCTTCAAGGGATTGGAATTTCGAATCGAACCCTTCATTTCATCCACCGATGGTGGGGGGTAGATTGGTCTAGTTCCACGTGCCATGCCTCTTCCGGATGTCTGTTATTTCCCTTTAAGTCAACTCTTCAAGATTTTGGTTCAATCATGGCAAGAAGACCGGGGCGTACAATGGCCGAAACGTTGTGAATATGGCAATGAAGATGAGGATAACAGTCCGAATAATGTAAATAATTTTAGTAATCACAATACCTCATCTCAAACATATAGACAGCTAATTAACTATTTACCATTATAGCTAGTTTAAACTTACAATTTCACTCTTTAACGTTTTCCCATAAAAAGGCTAGGAATAATCCCATAGCACTTAAAACTACTATTAGTGAAATAGAACTCAAACCTACTATCAGTGAAATAGCACTTAAACCTACTATTAGTGAAATAGAGCTTAAAACTACTAATAGTGAAATAGCACTTAAACTTGTGGGGATCACTTACATGTGCCACACCTCCATTTCCTTCAATATCATTGGTTCGTAAAAATATGATACTTATCATATGACAATTTTGCCATCGCAGGTAATTTGAAATTTTCTCTAAAATCACGGATTGGTCCATTTCTTGACCAATCGTGTATTTTAGTATCTTTCTATATTTTTAGCGCAAAGCTCGCTGGAGCCTATCCATCGTTATAAAAAGAATCTCGCTGTTTGCCAACAGCCAGTAACAGTTCAATTCTTGGAAGATAAGGCACGGCGCTATATTGACATTTTAATTCTTAATTATCACTCAATCGTGTAATCATACTGATATCACTCATGAACATTACATTTTTCTACACTGATAAAACACTGTGGAACTATTCTTTATTTAGCTAAGACTTCAATTGAACTTTGTAGTTAAATAACATTCAATATTGTACTCAAGATTAATTAGCTAAACTTACCCTTTTTATTACGGAAGAAGGGAAGCAACTTTCTTTATACTATTGTTGATATTTGTATATCATTGTTAATACAATATTTTATTAATGTTCACTGAGCTTGATTATTTTTTTCTCGTGTTTGTTGTGCATTATTCATGTGGGGTGTTGTTTTACAAGAACACAGCCTTCCTTCTTTATTATATTCACGGTGACCCTAGCCAACAATACTTACAGCACCACTACAAACTTACTATTAGTAAAATTGAACTTAAACTACTAATAGTGAAATAGCACTTAAACCTCTTTCTTGTATGTCAACATGTAACAGTTGTTTATATTGTAAATAAAGTTTCTCTTTCTTATTTCTATAAACATTCAGCGTTTTTGTCGTTTATTTCCTTCGCTCTGTTTGTTTACATTGTTAACCCGCATGTCCGACTTGCTGTCACTTGTTCCCGAATGAGAGTAAGTCTTTGATAATACACTTTCAAGTTGCTACCAATTTTTTTTTTTTTTTCGAGTATTGTCGTTCCGTTTAGATTTAGACAACAATGGACACTTGTTGGCAATTAGGGGAAACACCAGAACCCCAAGCCACGTCAGACCCCATGCCGGTTTTTGGGGAAGGTCCATATAAGCAGGAGGTCGGAGCGGCCGAGAGACAGTTGTTCCAGACGCCGGACGAGAGACCACCGCTTCACCTGATCTCGCATCACTTCCTGCCTGAAGAAAACCTCTGACATAAGTCTTGTGCCAGAAGCCTTGTTCAGACAGCTAAACTAACCGAATTATCGCGCTGAACTTACGAAGCGGGAAGGGTCGATATTTTCTGCATGAAGAACTAATATTTTTTTAATATCAAGAATTAACCAAGCTGTGTACAAAGAAAGTATATGAGAACATTTTCTTTTATTCGTATTATTTGTTTTTTTACTTGTGACTTCACCCTGCCCGGACCAAACCAGTATAACGATTCCTATCGACGATTCGATCCTTGCCAGCCTTATGATCAAAATTAAACACAACGTGGGATAAGGCAAAGCTTGGATCGAAGAGGTCAACTCAACGATCAACCGCGGGGATTGGACATCGGACGGGCCGGCAAAGAAGAAGGCTACAGACAGAAATACCCTGATTCTTTGAAACCAACAAGGTTGAATCAACATTTGCAGAATATTCGTCCCCGACACAAGAACGAGGACAAAAGCCTTTTTGAATGTCAGGAAAAGGCTTTCAAAAAGATGAAGCTGGAAGTTGAAAATGACCTCCATTATGCCCGTCTCCACGAATCCCAGAATTGACGAAGAAATTAACAATCACAGTTTCTCATTGAAATCTTCAGTAGAATAAAATCTATTTAAATACCTTGACTTTTTATTAAACTTTTTATTCACTAGAATTTTTTTTTTTGCGACACGTGTTAGCGTTTTAAAATCCTGACAGTATTTAGTTTTGTTGAAGTTATCGCTAACATTTTTTGCTGAGATTTAAAAATTCTACGTTTCGTTCAATTTCACAAAGCAAGCGATGAAATTTAACCTGATTTGTTTGGAAAATACTTTGGCAAAAACTCTACTTCGCAGTTTAATAATTTCTATAATTTATTTTAATTTCATAGGACTTCATGGTAAACAAAATTTTTAAGAAAATCTCTTTTTATCTTTTTTAACGGTAGAATAAATTCTTGGGAGTTCTTACTCTTGAGCGTGCAAAATATAACTGGCCATGCGTAAATATTTCTTTCTGAAACCAAATTCCAACATTTTGAGGCATTTTGCCTTGTAATTTATTTATAGTTCTCGCAATCACAGGGCAAACTGGATTATTGCATATATAAAACTTTAAGAAAACATCCGCAAAATGCAATATTGCATTTTTATTAAATAAGTATTTGTTATATTAATCATTAAATTGTTTTTTTTTAAATAGTGGGAGTATTTTGTATGCTAAATAATAAAACTTAATTTTTCAAAAAATGAATGAAAATTTATTGTACTAAGCTACGCACTCTAATTGTTGTGTCGTAAATAGGAAAGGTTGACACACATATAGAAAATATGAAGTAGTTTATTCCGGGGAATATATATGATACACAGTTGAGAACACAAACTAATGTAATAAACAGTTAATCGTTAACTCCTGGCATTTAACCGAGACTGCCCCACAAGGCGGGATGTGGCACAAGGCCAGTTTTTAACGTGGGTTTTTCCGATCACGTACGCTCGGGCAAAAATTCCCCATAGACTCGTATACACGGAGTCGGGTAGCTGTCTCCCTCCCAAGACGATACTCTGCCCATAAGCATAGCCTCGTTTGAGTTCCTCTCCGCTCAAATGCTGGGAGTCGACAAGCAGAGTAACGATTAATCGTTCACACCACTGTATTTGCCTGAAACCTCCCCACAAGGCGGGATGTGGCAAAAGTTTTTTTTTAAGGGGACATTCCGAGCCCATAGGCTCGGGCAAAAATTGCCCATAGACCCTGTATACACACAGTCGGGTAGCTATCTACCTCCCCAGACAAGAATCTGTCCTTCAGCATAGAGCTTCATCTGGGTTCCTCTCTGCTCAGAGACAGAGAGTCGACAAGCAGAGTTAACTGTAATCATTGACTCCTCTCACTCAGTAAGAGAGAGAGTGCTGTTTAAATAGTCTTAGACCAGTCCATCTTGTGGGAATGTTCAGCTACTCCACAACACTAGTAAAACAAACTGTACTTTGTACCACCTATTGCTCCCAAACATTTGGTTTCGATCGGTCAATGTGTGGCTATTTTAGAGGGTGTGACGGACGGACAGACTAATGGAAGTCACAGAATTATATATATATATATATATATATATATATATATATTAATGCATGTTTCATTAAATAATATAGACAAGTTTTGTCGATTTATTTTAAGTAAATTCCTTTAAATTGTCGAATAAGCTTTTTAGCATTATCACTGAAACACGAAAGAAAATTACCATGCTGATACATGTTTTTATTGTTAATTCTGTCTAAGCTTTCGGCTTACATAAGCTATCATCAGAGATTACAATTACATTACAATAAATTAAATAATAAATTATATAACAAAGACGGTAATTTTTGTTTTAGATTGGTTGCAACAATGATAGTTTTTGTTTGCATGAAAGATTACTATACAACAATAAATTCGTGCATATGAAACACAGGAAGAAATATCGTATTGCGGTTCATGACATAACACATGACCATGTGAGAGTGAAATTATATATATATATAGGCTGGTCTAGTATCACAGTTAAGCACAAATGAAATATATCTTTCCCTTACCTTATTTTCTCCACAATAGCCCATGCTAGCATGCATAAGTGTAAAACGAAAGCCAACATCCAATGCTGATCCTCATTTATTATTCACGATAGGAGAGTCCACCATATAGATAGATAGATAGATAGATAGATAGATAGATAGATAGATAGAATTACAATATCCTGGCGTTCGATGGAACATTTTTGCTTATTGAAGTATGCTTCAGTTTATTTATTTAATAATTAGTTATGAATTAAAAACAAGTTACTGTACATGTTATTCAAGTTTTAAATCCATCAACATTTTAAAATATGTGCATTGTGATGTAATAATGAATAACTCAGAATAAGAAATCGGAGAGCCAAGTTTGAATTTTGGTCGGGTTCATTACATTCAGTTATGCGTTAATACCCTTAGGAAAGGAGTGAATCCATCTTTTCTCCTCCCAGCTATGGGTTGAATAGCAGGATAAACTGGTTGGCAATATCTTTTATATAAGGCTCAAAGTTTCCGTGTGTGTGTGTGCGTATGTGAGTTTCCTTGAAAAACTGAATAATAAATTTAGTATGTGCCTGTGTGTGAGCACATAAACTTTTTTGAAAAATTGTGACATCAAATAAATGCACTTTTATTATCTACTAGCAGCATGGCCCTGCGTTGCCCGTGCTTGATTCAAAAATCGTACGACTCATACAGCAATCGCTATCACTTGACTTAAAATATTTTTGCCCTTCCTTGCCTTTAAAAGGAGTGCCCTTTGCCGTGCTGATGTTGCTATATGCCTTACTTCTTGCCAATCTCACACTGCGAATTTTTTCTAAGCTCTATGCTAAACATTAAATCTGTTACGAAAAAAGAACTAAACAAAATGAACACAAAACGATCAGCTTTAAAAAAGGACTCGTAACTGGAAAAACCGAATGAAAAAAAGAATGTTAACAACAAATACTTTTTCACATCCAACCCAGTCCTGCGGAATCAGAATCAACGTTGAGTTTAAGCAAGCGAATGAGCCAATCGAAGTAAAGTGCCATGCAGATTTAAATTTTTCCCACTTGTGATGAATGCAGCTATCGATTTTTTTGCATGCTAGCATGCTAGTTAACATTCGTGTCAGTCAGCTGTTGGCTCTCACGCTGGCCAATAGAATCTTCCTCCCTATTCGTTGCAGCCAGCTATAGGCTCTCATTCTGGCCAGTAGAAAATGGCCGCAAACTACATGAAAACTGCCGTAAAAGCATGAAAAAAAATCGATTATTTCCACTATCGATGGGAGTTGGGAAATGCAAAGTCGGTCTTGGCCTTCCTGCTAACTTGGAGCATGTGCATGTAAATTTTTAGTGCAAATCCATCGAAAATTGCGGCCATGCATTCGTCACACACACACACACACACATCCTACCTTTTATAGATAGAGATATCAGAAAGACGGATACAGGAATTGGTTTGTGCCATGTTTAGAAAAACAGACAGAGGAACCATTTACACTAGGTTCAGAAAGATAAATACAGGACACATTTACACCAAACACAGTACCTATTCACACGGAGAACAGAAAGGTAAACAAAGGTCTGGTTTTCCCTGGATCAGAAAGGTCGGATTTACATCCAAGTCTCTTAGTATTCAAATGTTGCCTGCATATTCCAAACCCGATCAACACGGTAAAATAAAATAAGATATTAAATTGTAAAAGACAAAAAACTTTTTCCATTTTTTTTTTTTTTTTTTAAAGATGAAAATGCATCTTACTTGTTATTTTAGAGAAAAAAAAACATCTAATATTAAATATTTCATGAGTGACCTTTGCTTTCACGTCTCGGACTAAACATTTTCACTCACTGTTTTAGATTTTAAAAGAAGTAAAATTTAACATCGAATTATTGAAATTGCTTCATTTTATTGCCTTGGATAGAGAGCAATTTTCATAACAAAAATTTTATTTGGTCAGCAGGTTTCGCTTACAATTTCATCCAACTTTTGTGCAAAACAAAAAGAGCTAGTGGAGTGTGAAAATTAAAATGGTTTTAAAATATAATGCAGCATGTGTCTTATATCTTGCCCAATTTAGTAGTCTTTGCCTGATGGAGATAACTAATTGGCAGAGTCAGATTTTAAAAATCAATCTTTTAAAACAATTTCTGTTAATCTTATATACCTGTTCATATAAATTTATGTCTATATTCTGTTATGTATTTAAAAATTCTTGATAAAATTCAAAGAATCTGCAATGTTATCAGGCCTGACCTGGCACATCAGCTTTAGTTCCTTTCCCACTGTCGTGATGTAGCTTTCCTGAGCCTTTTCTATAAATACTTTCTTGATAATTGTGTGACACTGATGTGATTAAACATTAATTCTAAGCAGGAAAAGGGTTAAGCCCAAAACAAAATATAAACTGGAAGACAGAAGAGAATGGAAGACATTTTTCCTGGTAATGTGGAATTGAAGAAAGGGCCATCTGGGTTGCCTCACACCTACAAATTGGAATGATGCACCAAGAGTTTATTTTTTTTTTTTTTATCTATCAAAAATCTGGTATGCGGGTAAAGCAAATTGGGAAATGGCTTTATCACTTTCTTGGGAAATTAGAAAAACATATATCATTAGCAAAAAGAGAAGCAAGCATGAATTATATTTTCGTGAGCAAAAATGAAATGAGGAATGAAAATGAATTGAGAAATGAACCTGCTATGAGGGTTATGATTATGAAAAATCAACCCGTCAGACCAGGCAGGTGATCTGGTTTATGTTTTTGCTAAGACAGTGACCATCCCAAGGATGGAAAACAGTGTCACTTTGTTGAGAATTTAGGTAAACAAATATATTTCGATTGACAAAAACAAATTGGGAAATGATTTTTATCTATCACTTGGAAGGTTAAAATGAGAAGGGTGACCACTTGGGAATAACAGTTGCTGTAAGTTTGGATGTGTGGGTGGTGTAATGTCTAATGGCTCAGAATTGTTAATCAGAGAGCAGAGTTCCAATTCCAGTTGGGTTTGTCATAGTTGCTTACACTTACATTTTTATAGTATATTTTGAAACTTTAACAAAGTTAATATATGTCATATATGAAATATGGTTGAGATCATAGACGAAGAACACCATTGGAAAATTCGTAAACTTAAGGAATCAGCACATATGCTAGGCCACAAAAATCTCCTGAGCCGGCCAAGCATAGAAATAAATACAATATGGGAACCAGTAATAAGGAGTGCCAGAGAAAAGCAATGATAACAATAAAAACTTGCAATATGAGCTCTGGTAAAAACATGCAATGATAACAACAAAAATTGCAATATGAGCAGTGGTAAAAAATGGTTGCTGAAGGCATTAGGTTTATAATATCCTGAAATTCATACAAGGACACATGGTACAGTGGATAAAGGTCTTAATTAAATCCAGTGACAGGACCTAAAGAGTGTGAGTTCAATACCTGGTTAAGGCGGTAGAGAACTTGGGGAGGGGAATTAACAGGATGACTGACATCCATTAGACATAGCACGTGGAACTAGAACAGTCTACCCCAGTGAGTGAAATAAAGGGTTCAGTTTGACATTCCAACCATGTGAAGAAGGCCGAAGTGTACAAAGGCTGAGATGTTGTGATAAATATGACGATGAGGACAATAGTCTGAATAATGTAAATAGTATGAAATAAAAGATTACCAAATTTTTTTATTACTAAGATAATTTCACTAGTCTAACTAACAGCACAAACCCAGGAAAGAGACTTGATCCAAACAATTCATAGTATTGTGAATTTATATACGCAATGTGCAGAAAAGTCGACACGTGATGGGTTTGCGAGAGGTTCAGAAAGTTGGACACAGGAACCAGTTTGCATTAGGTTCATGAAAAACAAAAGACACACAAACTGTTTACACTAGGTTAAAAAAGATGAATACAGGACACATTTACACTAAGCACAGAAAGACAAACAAAAACAATCTATGTTATAAATCCAACCTGAGTATACAAATGTAGCATCCATATTCTAAGGCCAACAACATGGTAAAATAAAATTAGATTTTAAATTACAAAAAACAAAATATGACTTTTCTATTTTCCTTTTTTTTTTTTAAACAAAAAAAAAAAAAAAGATGAAAATTCCTGTTATTTTTATTTTAGAAAAAAGAATCTAAGATTAAATATTTCTTGTCTCAGACTAAAATTTCAGACATTGTTTTATATTAAAAAAAAACCACACACAAACCAGTTTGCACTAGGTCCAGAAAAGCAGACTAAAGAACACTGTTTCAGAATTGTAGAAATTCGCAAATAGATTTAAGTACTGTCACTGAAAAGTCATTTTTTTTTTTGTACAAAGACCAACTCCAAATATTTGAATTTTTCTATTCATATATACATTAACCAACCAGTGACATCATAGGTGATGCACGATATTCTTTGAATTGGCAGACAATAAAAATTTCGTAGAATGAAAGTTTAGAGGCTCAACTTCCGAATATAATCAACAATATTTTCCCTCCTTCCAAGAGTTATTTCAAAATTGGAAAAATACTTAACCAATAAGCTTAGGATTAAGAAATCTAATTTTGGGGGAATTCTGGAGCTGATTAATTTATTATAAACATGATCAATTCTAGTTTGTTACCAGTCTTTCAGTGAAACTTTGACCAGGGTGTTTGATCATTTCTTATATAAACAGAACTTAAATTTTCACAATTACTCACATTTTTCACATATGTACTCAAGTATATATTACAAAAAGTGATTAGTGATATGTAAAAAACGTGTATGCTAAGTTTATTACATGTCAACAGCTTTTCCTGTGCTCAACTATAATTTATACACACAGATAAAAACATTGTAAATCTGCGTCACATACATCTGCACACATGACACATTTTCTGTTTATCCTATATTAACGTTATTCATTCAGCTGTCACCCAGTTATGTGCCATGCATGATACACACTTAGGTGATCATGTATCTTTTGATACATGACTGAGGAGGCAAATTTTTTCCCCACAGTAGGTTGCTGTTTCTTTCTGCGGTAGACCAGTTTCCATCAAAGGCTACAGAACCTGGTCTGTCCTGCTATTTACCCATAGCTGGGAGCGGGGAGTAGATGATTCATACCGTTCCCAAGGGTATTAGCAAGTATGAATCCTGCTTCGTTGTACTGTAAAAAGAAGATACACACAAAATATCTTGTGTGAAGTTGTTCACAAAGTCTTTGTAATTCATTTCTTTCAGTTTGAAAGAAAAATAATACTGAAATAAATAAAAATTATTGAAATTTGTAGATCGATGTTTGAAGATTAATTTAATTCTTCACTTCTACACATATATTCCACTACAAGATATATGAATCGGTTTGTGCTAGGTTCACAAAAACAGACACAAACTGTTTACAATAGGTTCAGAAACACAGATATAGGACATATTTACACCAAGCACACAAAGGCTGGGTTTATACCAAAGCCTCCAAGTATTCAAATGTAGCCTGCATATTCAAAATCCTAGCAACATGGTAAATATATCAGATATTAAATTATGAAAGAAAAGATATAATTTTCGTTTTCCCTTGGCTTTTAGATGAAAATGCCTGTTATTTTTTATTTTAGAAAAAAGTTTAATGATTAGCTACTTCAATAATTAAATGTGTAAGGTTTCTTACAGGAACATTTTATAGCATATGGAATAATAATGGTGAAAAGAGAGCATGCACAAAATAACTAATTGATTTGCAATGCAAAGATAACATTTATTAACACAAAATAAACAAAAGTAAAGTTTAAAACAAGAGCTTCTTTTGTTAGACATAAATTGTATACACAATGAAATGTTCATTGATATGTTATAGTGGAAACTTACTTTGTTGGTGTGTTTTATGGGTGAAGAATTTCACAGCCCTTTGTAGCTTCAGCATGGAAAGTTCATGTCGTTAATTTGAAAGAGGAAAAAGTCGGAGAGTTACTTTAGGGTTCAAATGTTTGTTTATATTTGAGCTGCTGCTGATACAAGGTTTATTTAAAGCTGCTACTGATAGTTTATTTTAGCGCTACTGCTGCTACTATCTTTAATGTTATTACAAAAGCATCTAAGATTACATATTCCATGAGTGACCCTTGTTTTCACGACTCAGACTAAACTTTTTAAGTTATTGTTTTAGCTATCTACCGTCCACCTGATTACTCTTTCTGTTCATCATTAATATTTCTAATTCTTTCACACCCTGTAACCCCTTGTGTTTTAGTGGCATTACTGGCTTGCTTGGAGGGGGGGTGATAGTAATTTTAAAATAAAATATTAAAAGAAAGAAAAAATGTGAAATTTAATATCAAGTTATTGAAATTGGTTTATTTTGTTGTCTTGGACAGAAAGCTGATCATTTGTTTTTTTCATTTTTTGTTTTTTTTAATAAGAATAGTATCCCTATGAATACTTTTACAAAAAAAAAAAAAAAAAAAAAGAACAATCCTGAAGAGATTTTTCATAAGCAATATTTTATTTTGTCAGCAGGTTTCGCTTACAACTTCATCTAACTTTTTGAGCAAAGCAAAAACAGAGGTGGTGGGGACTAAAAAAAAAAAAAAATCGTCAAAATATATTCCCAATATTTTTCACAGAATTTTAAAAAAAAATAAAAATAAAAAATATATATTCTGATTGAAAGAAAATTGAATAAACGGGGGGTTGGGGTAGGGGAAAATGACAATTTGCATTTTTGGTCACAGGATATCTGGAATGAACAGAGAAGGAAAGAAAAAAAATTTTTTTTTTTGTTTTTTAATGCCAAAATGGTTCCGATAAAAAAGGGAGACAACTTACGAGAAAATTATTTACTAAAGGAAAATTATTATATAAAGAGTTACATTTTGAAATCTTGAAAAGTATTTAAAAAAAACAAAAAAAAAACTGATAAACTTGTTAAATTCAAATAATCTTGAAAATGTTAATATAATTATTTTAAAACTGATAAAATAATTAATCTTTACTCTCTACATTAGAAATAATTATAATCTTTAAAAATTAAAATTAGGTTTTTACTTGCATAAATTCTAAAAAAAAAATTAAATTCACTGAATGAAATCAGAGAGAAGGCTAAAAATCAAACAAATTAAAAAAACACTAAAAAAATATTAAGCAAAGCATTAATTAAAACTTAAATAAGTAAAAAAAAAAAAAAATTAAATGCCTTTTTTTTTTTCTTTCCTTTTATTTATTTATTTTTTTTTTTTTGATATTTTAAATTTGCTTTCTACTTTTTCCTGGTCTTGGTTCATAATATCCGTTTCCCCCATCTCAGGCAGTTCGCAAAATGATGTGCACACCAGAGTCTGTGGAGACAATATCACTCAACTCTCCCACCTGCAGAGCAAACGAAGCATCCTCAAAAGGTTTCTGCATCTGACCGTGCCCAAAGATACCAAGATCACCACCTCTTTTAGCAGAGCTGCAGTCGCTGTACTTGGAGGCGAGGTCTGAAAAATCAGCCTTGCCACTCTTTATCTGGTCTCTGTAACCTGGAAAGAATTTGGTTTAAATATTAACACAGGAAGGAGGAAAAACAATGAGAAAAAATTTTTTACGAAACTTGGAGAGTTGAGTTATTGAGGAGAATTAACTGAAATGGAGATATCCAGAAAAGGCAAGGCATGGCATGTGGAATTAGAACAATCTACCCCTATGGATGACATAAAGGGTTTGGTTCAAAATTCCAACACATATCACATGAAGAAGGTCGGACCATATAACACCGTAGAACAATAAAGGTGAGGACAACAGTGAAATATTTTTTTCTTTGATTATTTACATCATTTACATTGTTTGGACTGTTGTCATCATCTTTATTGTCATATTCATGATGCTTCGGCCGTTGTACGCTCCGGCCTTCTTCAGGATGTGTCGATATTTCTGAGATGAGGTATTGTAATCATTTACATTATTTACATTGTTCGAACTGTTGTCCTCATCTTTATTGTCATATTCACCACATTTCAAGCTGTTATATGCTCCGGCCTTCTTCCGGTGATATACGCTGGCATTTTGAACTGAACCCATTGTTTAGTCAACCATGGTAGATTTTTCTAGTTCCACGTGCCATGCCTTACCTGGATATCTCAGTTTCAATTATTTTCCTTTAGTAACTCAACTTGTCATGTTTTTGTTCACCTCTGCTGTGGCCAGGTATTGAACTCACAACTCTTTGGATCAAATTACTGGAATACTTCAATCAATGCTTCTATTCACTATGTAATCTACTCCAGAGGACGAAATAAAGGGTTCAATTTAAAATTCCAATGTATATCACCTGAAGAGGGCTGGAGCATACAACAGCCGAAATGCCATGAATATGACGATAAAGATGACAAGAGTCAGAACAATGTAAATAGTGTAAACAGTTACAATAGCACCTCTCTGACATATAGGCAGATCCTGAAGAAGGCTGGAGCATACAATGGCCAAAACATTGTGAATATGGCAACAAAGATGAGGACAACAGTCCAAACAATATGAGTAGCGTAAATAATTACAATACCGCATCTCAGAAATATAGGCATATCCCGAAGACTAGAGTATACAATGGCCAAAACATTGTGAATATGACAATAAAGATGAGGACAACAGCCAGAACAATGTAAACTTGGGATAGACAACGAACAGTTCGCTAGAGACACGTTCATGGTATGCCACAAAATAACGCCGAAGGTCAACTCGCTCCACATAACCGGCGTAAGCAACTCTTGTAAATCATACGTCCTAAGATCCATAAGGAACGGACTGATGAACTGCGGGAGAATGAGGTGTCAGGCGTCCGACAACTTCACGTTTGGGACCTGCGTAGACAAGACCATGATATACACCAACGAGATGTGGTTTACTCCGCAAAACGTCGAGGAAGCCAAATGCATACTGGAAGGGACTGAGACGTACATAAACATCAAACATCAGAATGAGAGATTGCCAGAAAAATATGTCTGGATCTACTTTGGGTACGTTACCACCAAGTATCTTCACAAGAGTTTATTTTGTCTTTTCATACAACTTGAAGGATGCGTCTACCCAGCACGGGTATTGAACTGATAGCCTTCAGCTCTTGAAAACTTGTGCTTTAATAAGCTGACCTGTTCCACCTGCAGCTGAAATGGATTCTGCCAATTGAGTTCTATATAAATTTATGGTTTTTCCACGGGGGGGGCTTATAAAAATCCATTTGCCAGGTGAACACTATCTACATTATTCGGACTATTGTCCTCATCTTTGCTGTCATATCTATCACGTTTTGGTCATTGTACACTCCGGCATTCTTCAGGTGGTTGGAATGTCGAACTGAACCCTTTATTTCGCTCACTGGCCTAGACTGTTCTAGTTCCACGTGCCATGTCTAATGGATATCAGTTATCAGTTATCTCCTGTTAATTCCTCTCTCCAAGTTCTCCACTGCCTTAACCAGGTATTGAACTCACAACTCTTTGGGTCCTGTCACTGGATCTAACCAATGCCTTTATCCACTGTGAAGAACTTGGAGAGAGGAATTAACAGGAGATAAATGATAACTGACATCCATTAGACATGGCACGTGGAACTAGAACAGCCTACCCTGGCAAGCGAAATAAAGGGTTCAGTTCAACATCCCAACCACCTGAAGAAAGTCGGAGTGTACAACAGCTGAGACACTGTGATAAATATGGCAACAAAGATGAGGATAATAGTTCAAATAATGTAAATAGTGTACATAATACCTCATCTCAGAAATATAGACAGATGTGAAGTTATATCAGATTAAACAGAAGTCAAAATGTGTCAGTTAGTGGCTGACCAATCAACAAAGAAGGCCAGAGCATACAAGTGTCAAAATATGAATATGGTAATAAAGATAAGGACAACAGTCTGACGATGGTAAATCAATACAATACCTCATCTCAGAAATATACAGATCCTGGACCAGCAATCCTGAAATTTGGGATTTCTAAATTTTCAATACCGAGATTATTTTTGGATTGCACCATCTTAGTTTCTACTGATTAAAGCAATTAAAGGGATGCAACCCTCTGACTTTCAATAGCTCATGTTCAAATGAAAAAAAATTACTGTTCTCAAATTAGTGTTTCAAAATGAAATTCGTTATATTTTCAATTTTACACCTAGAGGCTGAAATCAGGCAGACTCCATGAGCAAATTAAAAACATTCTGGGTCAGATCTGGATCCACAATCCTGAAATTCTGGATTCCCAAGTTTTCATTCCTCTGATTGTTTTTGTGATTTTTTGTACAATAACAATTTTTATAACTTGAAAATAATCAAAACTAATTGTGAAATTCAGCAAAAGGCACCCATGAAATAATTGTTTGTACAGAAAGTAAGGACCTACATACATCACATTGTCTTTAAATTAAGTGGTGGCAGAAGAATTATTGTTGAAATTTTAAAAGGTAAGCTTGAATATTAATGTAATACTTAAATGCAGCAATCAATTATGAGTTCTTCTGTAGTTTATTGTTGCCTATCACATCTACTCCTGTTTACTTATTGTGATGAAGGCCCAATCAAGAGTCCTTCACAGGAGCTAGCTTAAATGCCGCTCGATAATGTGGCTTTCAAAAGAAACACAATCAAGCAACTAAACAGTGTGTCACATTTCTGTTGTTATTAAAATTCTAAACATAGCTTTTTAAAACAAACATTGTTGAAAGACTATACAGGTCGATTTTGAAACCATGGTATGGCACTCAATTTGAAAATTGGGGTTTGACATGATAAATAATGGCACAAAATAATTTTATCCAAATACTTATTGTTTTTTTTTTTTTTTGAGGAGCCGAGTTTAAAGATTATGTTTAGGTTCAAAATCGTAGCATTGGAATTTCATTCTGGTGATCAGTGAAAGCCTTAGAGAACAGCCTTATAAAATTTATAATTTAATGAAGCTTAACAAATTGTATATGGACAAGATGCATGGCACAGGCACATTATTATTAAATCATTGTGCAATCAAATAAGACCTTCATTTAGGGAAATTATATTGAACAATTCAGCTATATTATGTAATATATTATACAGTAAAATATTTTTAGTGTCATTTTCAATAAACAATGCAAATTTAAAACATTTTGTCTTATAATTTGTGCCCATCAGTATTCTGGTGTTATATACAATTTTATCTATTTTTTGTTTTTAATTATGATCTAACAAATCTTATTCATTGAGTAACCTTTTTTTGCAATCTCATCTGGGGAAGCAGAGAGCTTGATCAGCACAGCTGGAGACGAATCTCCAACTACAGACCAACATACAGTATTTACTACTGCATTTATGTGAATGGGGACGGTATTAACGTTAGTAGGTATGCTACAATATATATACTTTTATCTATTTTTTGTTTTTATTAATTATGATCTAACAAATCTTATTCATTGAGTAGCCTTTTTTATAATCTTTTACAATTTTTTTTTTTGTACAGTTTTTACATATCAAATACAGTAAAAAAAATTGCACATTTTGTTTGTGATGATTCATAATTAAAATTCTGATTTGAATATATTTTCCATTCAATGTATCTAATACAAAAGATAAACTTTATTTGGATTTATTCTTGAAACTGTGAAATTCTGAAATCAGTTTGTAAGCAAAAACTTGCAGAAATTAGGTATTTCACTACATTTTTTCAGATGATATTTAAAACTAAATGCTCAAAAATTGGTAAAAGCTATGGATGTAATCTTTGGTGCCAGTACTTACCATATCAAACCCCAGCTTTCACACTAATTGCAAAGTTGATTTAAAAAAAAAAAAAAAAAAAAAGTAAAAAATCAACCTGTCCAATAATACAGTAATAGCAGGTGTCAAGAGAAAAAAAACATTTATTTAAGAGATTGCTTTTTTGCAGTTACAAAAGTTAAACTTTGCCAAGACCTACCTGAAAGAATGTTAATTGCCTCCTCTTTAGTCCGTGTGATCTTTTCTTCTCTCCAGGATGAGGGCCGGCGGGAGTCTTTATGCTTGACCAATAAATGAGAACACTGGACAGTGTCCTGCTCCTCAGAAGCAGGTTCAGTTGGGCGGTCCCATTGGCTCTCTTTTGTATACAGATTCAAATAATATTCTTTGCCTATTTATAGGAAAACAAAACAAAACAAATATTAATATTTTCTTTTATCCATCAATAAATAAAATCATTTATACAGGATGTCCATAAAGTCTCTTTACAATTTAAAAAAATATATTACAAAGGCAATTGATGAGATATCATAATCAGATTTGTTCTATGTACTCAGTAGTTATCAAAGTTTTTAATTCCATTGCATTTGTATATTTCAGGGTACCCTGTTGATGAAAGAGGTACTGTTAAATGAACCCCTAACATTTCTAGACTGGTGGAGTGGAAAGGATGGCCTAAATACCTTGTAGAATAATAATACAATAAACAGCACTTACCGGCGTAAGGGTCCCAGCTAGCATCCAGCTGGCAGACAAAAATAAAGCAGGTTGTAACTCAATACAAACCCTGCAAACTAACTGATGAATCAAGCTGGTATTTATACAGAAATACCTCCACTCATGCACCAGCAGCCAATCACAGCCCAAGCAATGGACTATCCGACTTTAGCACAATGGTGCTCCATGGCACCATAAATAGCTCTCTTATGGTTGTGTTATTATTCACTCAGCTTGCTCCACAACTGAGTGTTTATTTTGACCATGTGATTGTTCTACATACCTGACCACCTCATTCACCAGATATTACTCCACTGGATTTCTTTCTATGGGGTTATGTTAAAGATATCAAACAAAGATACAGGATCATCACTGATCAAAAGCAAAAGATCACTGATGCTATTGCCACCATTGATGAGGCTACAGCGAACATGGCAAGAAATCAGGCACCATCTTGATGTGCTTTGCAACTAATGGTGGGCATATAGAAGAGTATTAAATTAGTTAAAAAAAAAAAAAAACTTCAATATTTACTCCTCATTTTGTAACAATTTTATATTTGTCAATTCATTTGCTTTTATAATAAACTTTTTAAATTGTAAAGAGACTTTTTGTGGACACCCTGTATATCTAGTAACACTCGTTATCAAATATTCTAAATGTTTTTTTTTTTCTCTAAATCAATTCACCCCAAACAAGGTGATAATGCCACTAAAACACAAGGGGCTACTGAGAGTGAAAGAGAACGAAAAGACTTTAAAACAGTGTTTCTCAATGTGGTTGCTAGTGCCCCCTTGTGGACTCTTATACTGGAAAGGGGTACTGTTTTTTTTTTTGTTTTTTGTTTTTTTATTTCATTTGGGGTGCAGTGGGCATTGATCCATTTTTTTTTTCCCAATTTTCAAAAATTATTCAATATTGGCTACAAAAGGGAATTTCTGAAAGGTAACTAAAGCTGTGGAAAGCTATCAAACTTTTCTTCGTTGCTTTTCTAACTTCTTATATGGTTGAATGTGGTTTCAACGCAATTACACAGCTTATAAAATAAGAAACCGTCTGCAAATTACAAAATGAGATCTTCGATTACTTCTAAGCAGCATGGGACCTAGAGTAAGATTCTTAGCCAGTAAGGTCCAAAGTCAACCATTCCATTGAAAACATTGAAAGAATCTATCATATAAAAGACATTTTTAGCATTTAATCATTTGAATTTATAATAGAAATGAAAACAATATTAAAATTATTTTTGCACTAATGCCTAAAAGAATTCAGTATAATATAACAAAATTAATTTGGCGGCAGTGGGAGGGGGGGGTCATTGCCAAAAAGTTTGTGCCCAAAGGGGGTGCAGGTTGAAAAAAGGCTGCTTTAGAAGAAACCGGAAACCTGATCCTAAATGGGGAACAAGGGATATAGCTCTACTCATGTTCAAAAGACTGGGGGCAATAGGATGCGAACCGGACAATAGGCAAACCTATTTCCTCTTATTGATCTAAAAAAAAATAAAAATATAAAATAAAAAATGAAAAAAAAAAAAAAATATAAAATTTAAAAAAAAAAAATAATAAAAAAATAAAATAAAAAAAAATAAAATAATAAAAAAATAAAATAATAAAAAATAAGAATAAAATAATAAAAATAAGAATAAAATAATAAAAATAAGAATAAAATAAAAAAATAAGAATAAAATAAAAATAAGAATAAAATAAGAATAAAATAAAATAAGAATAAAATAAAATAAAATCTAGTAAATAAAATTTCAGAGTTTAGGGGATGTTAGACATATAGAGTTTTAGACTTTAGAAGGGACTGGAAACCCTAAACAGGACACATGGGATAAAACTAGGAATGAGGGTTAACTGGACAATAGGTTCTCTTGTCTACTTCTATATATAAAAAAAATTATCTAAAATCAAGTCTATGACTGAGCTTCCAACTCGGACAAGTCAACTTCAGGGGCAAAAAATAAAGCAAACGAAAGAAAATCAAAACTGGCAGCCATTCCTGAAAATTACCTCCAATTAGTAGTTAACTGGGTCAAGAAATGGCTTGCAAATTTTAATGTCCCCCAAAACGAAACAGCTATCCTTTAATCCTCATAGGGAACCATTTTTACCCTCCATCAGTATGGCTGATGCTAATATCCAGTAGGGCAACTCATTGCCCCTTGTTAGTTTCATGCTTTCTATTGACTTGAGGTGAAGCAATTGAATCAATTGCTAGGTCTGCTGCTAAGAAAGTTGGTTCACTGTGTCATACCAGACACTTTTCCTCATCAGAATCCATCTTGCACATTTATAAAACCACCATTCCTCAGTGAATTGAATATTGCTGCCATTTCCCTGGCTCTATATAGATGCTCAACAAAATAAAAAGCAGGATCCATAAACCAGCTCTTAATAATACTAATTATGAACATGGCCAGAATGCGCTGAATGTGTTTGGGAATTGAAACATTTCTATTGCTATAATAAAAGATAAAAACAAGATGTTCATCACAATCTACATATTAAGACAAACAAAAAGCATCCTTGATAATAGTGAACAGATTTGTTGAAAGGGCTTGGCTCACCTTGACTCAGATATAAATATCATTTGGACAGTTCTTACACACTATCAAAAAAAAAAATTAAAAAATAATATCTCTTGTATGCAAATAAGAAAATTTTAATAAAAGACAATCACAGTGCCTTGTCAGACATCTTTAATGAAACCTGTATAAAAGAGGGACTGCTGTCTAAACACACAATTATATAGCTGGTGCTAACCTCCAGGAAAGTAACACATTGCATCTTATCAGGCTAATGGTTTCCGCTGACAAGGCTTGATGATCACGTTTAAGCAAAAGAAAAAAAAAAAACAAAAAAAACACACGACCTGGGTGTTGCCTTATTTCTTCTTACTATAAACTTTTTTTTGAGTGAGTTTTATTTTTTAATTTTCTTAGATAGATAAATTAGTAACAACCAGAGCCTTGCAGTTCTTCAGATAGAAAAAAGGGATACAGGTACAATCTCTAGTGGTAGGCACAATTTCTCTTCCGTAGGACTTCTTGATCTAGGGTACTTGTTATTAATTTCACTGTTTCTAGTAATAAAAAATGTTTGACTAAAAATCAAGTTATATATATATATATATATATATATATATATATATATATATATATATATATATAAAAACTATGAACCTTAGTGTATTGAGCACCTTGCTTAGTTATTTTTTTACTCATGCCCAAGGTTTTTTTCTTTGGACTCTGAGCTTGGGTTCTGGTTGATTATTTTCACCAAAATTACATGTTCCTAGTTCTTTCTTTTTTTATCCGTGTTTTTTCCTTGGGTATTAGTTTGTTCATTTACAAGCCAATACACCTAAGGTTTTTCCGGATGAGCATACTTTTTTTTATATATATATATTATATATAAAACTGTTCCCGCCAAAATAATAGTTAGAATAAACTACAACAATCAACACCAAAATTAAACATATAGCTTTAATTATCTTCCCAAAACAAAACTATTAAATAAGCGATATAAACAAATTTTTACTACATTAATAAAAACACCGATTAAAGTAAAAATAAAAAATAAATAAATATATAAGATAAGAAATAAAAATAAAAAATAAATAAAAACAAGCAAAATAATTTAACCCAAATAAATAAATAAAAAAAATAAACGACTTCTGGTAAAATAACCACCAAAATAGACTACCCACAATGCACCACTGACCCGTATATATATAAATAGCCGAGAAAAATAACAGCACTTGTGGCCTGACGATTGCATCTAAGTGTTGACTTCTATGTTCACTTTTATATTTACACATGCTTCTATCTCTGATATTGAGCACTTTATCCCATAAATATAGCACATCTTAAGACTATATATATATATATATATATATTATACACATACACACACAGTGCGGTGCATAATTATAAGGCCAGCAGAATTTTATATTTAAACTTTAGCAACTGAGCTAATTTTTTTAATATTTTGTTATTATTATATAGTATTAATAATCTGAAAGTTTCAGATAATTACTGGAGTAGAAAATCAGTTATTGTAAAATTATTCAACAGCTTAAAAAACTATTAGTGCATAATTATAAGGCCATTAAAAAAAACTTTTATTACAGAAGTGACAAATACCAAAAATTTATAAAAATTAATATTTAGTTTGTTTTCTGTCGTTGGCTATTACTTCAAGAACTATTTTTCATAGAATAGATTAACTTCTGAATGTCATTTTGGTTAATTGAATCACAGGCTTTCAAAATTTCACTTTTGAGCTCGTCATTGTTATTAAATTGATATCCATTCTTGTATTCTTGTCTAACCAATATCCCCTAAAGGTTCTTGATAAGATTGAGATCAGGTGATTTGGTGGGTCAATCCATAACATTGATTCAGTTAGCTTGAAACCCCCTCCATAATGGACTTTTGCTTTGTGAACAGGAGCGTTGTCTTGCTGAAACACCCAATTTCAACCACCAATTTTTTCCCATGAGGCAGGAAAGAATTAGATAAAGTCTGATAACCCAAAGCATCAAATTTTGTGTCAACGAAAACAATTGGAGTTTTGCCTTTGAATCCAAATGTCATTCAAATCATAACACTCCCTCCTCCCTGCACACACTTGGAAAAGACCAACTTCTCCTTTCTAAGGTCACAAC